GGGGGGGTGGAAGTATTCCCATATAACAAAGAGAGTTCACTTTTGACAAAAAATTACCAACGCCCTTTTTCCACCGAGTCTAAGGACACCTCCAGCCTCGCTGCCATTCAAAGGCCAGGTCACTTAGCAGACAACCGTAAAATGGTTTATTTCTGAGGAACAGGCTAAACCCACCCCCACCCCTCCCCCTTCAAGACTCCTTATGAATATCTTCATAATAAATTATGCCAGTTTGTCGATCCCCCTTACAATTTAATATCTTAATCACCATGTAGTCAATTTTCAAATTCATTTCATCATTGTACATTTCTTTTGTTGAAAATGTCATCAAGAAGAATTTCTTTAAAAGGGCATAAATAATATTGATACATGTAATACAAATTATACAGTGTACATTTTCTTTACAATAGTTTCACAATCTTTTAAATAGAAGAATATTATTCGCATAATCCAATTAAGCTTCATATGGAAAGTAATATTCCTAGTGACCAGTCTCTTTTATGCTATTATTTAAGTGGTTAAGGAGACACATTCCATCACTGCTCATTAGAAATATTGTGGAACCCCATTAATCTGGTCACCAAAGAACAACAAAAATCTGACCATATTAACTGGGTGGCTGTATTAAAGGGGTTCTTCAAAATATATAAGAAAATGACTGACTAACGAGGTGGCCATAGGAGTGGGTCGGCTGTAAGGCAGGGTTCTATTGTAATGGCTAAAGGCAAGATTCGCAAATTCTTTTTGTTAGAGAGCAACATCTACAATGCATTTTGAAATTTGGTAGGTGTATCAGACTAGGGTAAGGACACATATTTTGGCCCTATTCTCCCAGAGGAGAGAAGAAATTAAGTGAAGTAATTCAGTAATCGATTCTGTCTGCATGTCTTGATAGGAAGCTCCAAATGAAAAAAAGCATTTTTTCTTTGACTCTGACAATGGAGTTTTCACTAGATCATATGCCATGAAGCCATAAGCAGAATCAGTGTTCTTCTTCTGACTTTGTAGGTTTGGTTTTAACTAGATTGTATCATGCTGTGCTCATGATTAAGATGCCGACTGCAACTTCTTCATTAAAGAAAACCAGCCTTTAACAAGAAGCAGCCATATCTTAAAAATAAGGCAGCAAAATGCATCATGCATTGCAGTCTGATGCAAAATGAATACACAACCATTAAAAGTGCACGTTACAATGATTAAATTTTATAAAATATACTGGAAAAAATTCACTGCATAACCAACAAGTGGCTACATGACAGGCACGCAAAGCCACAAAAAACAGTTTCGTCACTGTGAGCTACATACACATGTACATGTGTAAACAATTGCATATTATGCATCTAACAGATGCTAACATATAAAAATAAGTTCCTCTAATAATTTTAACATTGTAGGTCTCATTTTATGTAGGGTTTTTGCTCATCACACAATCTTAGTCACAATCCTTTCTTGTCATACAATCTTTTGATTTAATATTATTTGCTGTTGTCAAGCATCCCTTCACTGGATTCACTGGATGAGAAGCCAAATTAATGCATTCATGAGGGCTACATTCCAGCTAATTATGTCAGTTAATTAGCATGTCATGAAAATAATGTAAAAAGAGACATTGCAATGCGACTACTCAAACCGGATCACTTGGAAAAGAGTTAACCAATCAGAATGTTACTTGAGAACAAAAGATGGCAATCTTTTTCTGAAATAAACCAATAACATTGAAGAATACAAACATCGTAGTTCTTAACAAAATTGAACACCCAACAAAGTGCAAAGTGAAACTCTCAGGAAACTTTGCAATTTGTTGATTGGTTAGTTTCAAATAAATCCTTGATTTTGTATGCTTTTGAATGGTTTTGGTTTAGTTGTCATACAATGAATTTTCAAGCTACATTTTTCGAGCGAGATTCGTAATAATATTGTTATGATATAATTTGCGATGAAGGACTGAATCTCTAAGAGTGTATATAATGTGGAGGAGTTGATTTTGTTATGTTTTCACGTCAAACAGACCATTGTTCTCAGTTTACGTTTTGATTGGTTAGTTTTCTTCCAGGTGGTCTGGTTTGAATTGTCGCACTGTAATAATCAACCCACATCATGCTAACTATGTCTTTGCATATTTCTTGTTACTAAGAAAATTTCCATAACAAATCAACTTCTTCAAAAGTTCATACGTACAGTTGATCATTCCCCAAGACAATAAAGCCCTTGTGTAGTTGAGCGGTACTCCATAAAACAAGCGCCGTACTCTCCTGTCCCGCTCATTGAAAACCACAGTGAAAGCTCTGAGACAGCTCACGAACTCTCCACCAAGCTGTTTTTGCATGTGGCTTTTAACAACATTAACTGGAAAGAAGAAAGTACTCAGACAAGCTCCTAAAACTGCTCCACTCACAAAATCATTGGCTGCATTGCCAATATTAGTCTTTGCTTCAGGTAACATGGATTTTATTGGACCCCGCAGGCCGAAAAATAACACATTAGAAGGTCCATTTCTACACAGTATAGGCGTGAGACCACGGTAATATTCACGGAAACCATATTGCATCCCTACAACCTTAAACGCATGAAATGTGTTGACGAACCTCTCATTATGGCCACGATGAGACAGTAACGTTTGCACTCGTTCAAATGGCGTTAAGATTGCTTCCATAGTTCCAGCTAGCATTGCGGCCAAGGCATTTGTCGTAACTGAAGCCATGCCAGTGAAATTCCGAGAGAGTTCTTTTTGAAACTTGTGGTAGGCGCCAAACATAATAGATAATGAAGTCCCTTTTTGCATCAACGGAGGTCCAACTCCCCGATAAAGGTTTGAAACACCTTCTCTTAGGACCTGTCTTAACGCCTTGCGAAATCTTAATCCTTCCACTTGCTGTCGAAACATCACTTTGTAGGCGGGAAAAGTTACGATAATATTTGTGGCTGCTGCACCAGCACCGCAAACGAAATCAGGCCAGTCTCTATCAGCACTTCTTCCAGTATCGGAAGAAGA